AGTGGCCAATTTGGACAGCACAGAACAAGAGGATTTGATCTGATGTCAGCTGTCTGTCCCCAAATTCAAGTGCACTGATCTTTGAGATTCTATGAATCAAATAGTCTGTATGTTTGGTCCTTAGATGATGCCCTATGCTCATTTTCATCGGTTCTGATGGATGCGAAAATGTGACCCTCTATTCAGAGATTTGATCACCATCCTCTGTTTCCAACCCTGGCTGCTCTATCCCTCTTGTTTTTATCTCTTTATCTCAGAGCTATGTCCCTCCCACCACCTAACACATAATTGGTTTGCGATCCATGGGGAAAGGGTCGGAAGGAAGGAAGGAAGTTTGAGAGCAGGGAAAAGGGAGGGCTGGAAGGAAGACTCTTCAAATACGGTTGTGATCTGTGTGTCAGCATTGGGCACCTGCCCTCAGGCCTTTGTGGAATATTGAAGTGATGTACAGGAACAGTGACATGAAAAATTCAAGCCAAAAGAAATGTCAGTGTTCCAAATGGCTAAACATTTTGTGCAAAAAAATTCTCTGGGGCTCTCAGGATAGCAGTTCTCTTAATTTTGCTCTTTTGCTAGTTTTCCAAGACCATCCTATCCCTTGGGGTCACTGTCCTAGGAGCCTATGCCAATATTGGCTTGCTGGGAAGGAATTCAAGGGTTTGTTTTTTTTTCTGGCGACTGCTCCTAGGAGATGATACCTCCAGATGCTGTTATGGATGCTGTGCCATCTCCAGTTTGGTGGTGAAGGTACCTAGCAGGGAGCTTGGCATACTCCTCATTAGACGGAAGAGAAGGGAGCTGAGAACTCCAGGAGAGTTATGTTGATGATTTTCTGGACTGTCTAAAACATTTTAACCCCCAGTAATTGTATTTTTATTTGTTGCCTTCTCTTTGGGACTTGGGTTTCACAAAGTCATTTTCTGACCTTGTTTTCCTTATTAAATTAGCAAGATTGACTTGAATCAGAATATACTGTTGTGGCTTAGAATGTCATAGAAAGAACAAAACAGATGGGTGTGGCCAATATCTCAGGTTCCAGTTGGGGTGGGTGGTGGTGGGGAAAGAGAATGAGACTTGCTAATAAAATAATAATGATCTTTTTTCCTGATAGAACTTGAAAAGGGGAGAAAAAGCCATGTGGAACAAAACAAAGGCATCAAGTAAAATAGAGCTGAGTTTCCTTTTGTGGAAGCTCATATTTGTTTTTCTACATAGAGCTACTCATAGGATGCTCATAGCTTTTTAGTTTGTTTTGCATGGGGGGCATTTTTATTGTGTGTATATATGTCTATAAATTTTCATATTTAAAAGATAATTTTTATATTTATAGGTAAGCAGCTGAATGCACCAAATAACAATAACCAGGGCTGTCTAATGTGTCTCATTCTCATCTCCCACCATCCCAGCTATTTTTCTAGTGTTTCCTCTGCAAGGCTTCCACAGTGGGCTTTCTAGCATATAAACACAACTCTGCGCCTCTTTACTTACAGATCTTAAATGACTGTTAAACCCTAAAATATGTGTCAGCAAACTTCTTCTATAAAGGGCCAGTTCAGTAAGTGTTTTAGGTATTGTGGCCATTTGATTTGTGTTGCAACTACTCAGCTCTGCCATGTGCCAGACAGTATGTAAACAAATGAGAATGGCTGTGTTCCAATAAAACTTTATTTATAAAGATGCTGAATTTGGCCCTTGTTCCCACCCCTGGTATACAAGATACTCTTTGGGTTTATTGACCCCAACACTCAGGATCTTTTGCTGTTTGCCTTCAGCCTACACATCCAGGTATTTCACTCCTATTTTTTTTAATCCTCAGAAGACACATAGTTATTTAAAAGGTTCTCTCTTTTACCTGTGTAGTTTGTATCTCATCTTTGGATGTGGATTGCCATCTTCCCTCTATTCTTACTTTTCCTGTGAGTCTGTACTCCCTGCCTTACCTTACACAAGTCTCTAGGCCAAGTCTGACCAAATCTCTGTTCTCTCTTTGAGCCCTTGTTGTCATTTTTAGTACATGGCTACTCCTCAACTGGACACTGAGTGGGCATGTGCTCGTGTTCCCCTCTGTACCCTGCCTAGAGAAGGTCACTGAATAAATGGCCATGAAGTTAACCCACCAGGGGTCCTGGGTGTCTCTTAGTTACAGATTTGTACATTGACATGTAGGTGAAAATGCCGTGTACCCAGATGCATTATGGGAAGCCAGGTCCCAGTGTTGCGGGAGGGGACCTAGATGTGGGCTAGTGAAAATACAGCCAGGTAAGAACTGAGCAGACACACTACAGTCAGGGCCGTCTGGGGGCCCTCTGGCATGGACCCCACGGCCCAGACAGGGGAGTGAGTGGGGAGCGAGGTAAGCAGTGTCTACTTTAGGGCATTGGGACCAGGGAAAGGATGCAGTCTGCTGGAGGGAGATCAGAGAGAAGCGGCTCATGTGATTAATGGGATGGAGGGATTGACTCATGGGGAAAGATTAAAGCACTCTGAGGAGCTGGGGTACAGACTGAGAGGGGCAGATGATAGCAGGCTGCAAATATGTGAGATAGATAAACATCCAGGAGGGAACAGCTAGCTTCATTGTGGAGTGATGATGGGGGCTCCATCTGAGCATGGGAGGGATGCTTGGAAAGACTTTGGTCGCTCATGCAGGAGCTCAGTAGAGGGTTGGGGGACCAGGTAGCACTGGTCTTTCAGAACTAGAAACACCATGAAAGGTCACTGTGGGGGTGATTTGTTCAGAGAAGCCTCTGATTGTATCCTGGAGGGGCTTGACGTCTTTCTCTCTGATAGCCATCCTGAGCAAGGCTGGCTGGGGAGCAGCACAGGAGGGGAGTGGCCAAGGGAGAGGAGAGAAAGGGATATCAACCAACTCACACTTCCACCCACTGCCATGAGTGGGTGGCACAATAGCTGTAAAGCTCTCTGCTCTACAGTCAATTTTCTGCCACCCTTGCTTGTCCTTTCTAGAGCCAGAGATACTTCCTCCAAATCCCTTCTCGGGCACAGGGCCTCTACCTTCTGTGGATCTGACCATGACCCAGCCTGTACCCTGGTCCACATATCCACAGGGCTATGGCCCACTGGGCACATTGGAAGACAAGGTTTACTTAAAACTGTGTATACCGCCCTCAGCCTCCAAAATCAGCTTCCTTCAGGTGGTCTCAAGTTTTTTCTTGTGTGAGCAAGGGCATTGGGATTCTAGGCTGATCAAGTCACAGTAGGTCCCCCACGGCCAGTTGGCTAATGGCCTTAGATCAGTTGTGCTCTACCCTGGCTGCAGACTTCAGTCACCTGGGAACTTGTGAAACACACCTCTGCCCTAGTCCCACTCCAGGGAATTTGGAGTTGCGTGGTTTGGAGTGAATGGGAGGGCACCAGACATGAGTATATTTTCTTGAAGTGCCATAGGTGTTTCTGAAATGTTGAACACTGCCACTGAAAAATCTTTCATTTGGGTGTGATTAGCATTTATATTAAGGTTACTCCTTCATCTTTTCCTGTAACTACTGACTATAATATCACCTGAAATAATTTTCTAAAAATAAAGCTTTTACAGATAGATCACCTATGGTCCCAGCACCTTGCTGGACCCAGGCAAGAATCCAGTGTGAAGCCAGAACAGGGAGCTTACAGCCCAAGGGACAGAGGATAACTCGGGCAAAGATGGATGAACCCAGAATGATGAAATAGCTCACAGCAGAGACTGTCTGCTCTGCACACTGCAGCCATCTCAGCGCTCCCTGTTCTGGAGTCTGACACTTGAAGTCCAACGACAGAGGATGTGTGTCTACTTGTGTAGGAGACAGAGATGCACTTGAGAGTCATAAAACTCACATCCTGAGACCTTCGTGCGTCTCCGAGTTCCTGACACAGCAGTGATTAACCAAGTGAGAGTCAGATATGGTGACATGTGAGATTTTAAGAACATTGAATGATTTTTTTTTTTTGTGGCAATGTGTGTTTCTGTTGATGGTCATTATCACTTAGGTTGATGGTCATTATCACTTAGGTTGACAGTACTGTAGGTATGTAAGTAGAAGAAAAAAATATAGAAAGATAACTAGCAATACAGGTGGTCTTCAGCTATGGCCCAAACTGAGAAGTTGTATGTATACTGAAGATTGCAGAAGTGCAATGGGGAATGGGGTCTGGGGGAGTGGAGAGGGAAGTCCAGTGTTTGCTGCATAGTCATTCTTACAATTTTCTCACTATCTGATGAGCCTTGTGTTCTCACTCAAATAATTCCTGAAATGGTTCAAAGTGTTACATTGCTTTGGCTAAATGAAGGGAAAACTGTTCATCTTATGTCATAGTTCTGAAGTTCCACCAAATATCACTTCACAAAGCTTCAAGTCAGTCTCTTAACCTCTCCCTGGTTATATTTTCTCTCACCTTGGATTGAAGGTGCTTTTCATAGTCAAAACTAAACTTGTATCATTCCTTGAGAGTAAGTGGGAGAAGAGAGCACTGAGACGTGGACACTGGAGGAGCGATTAACCTAAATCACGTTGCGGCAACAGACTCACTCTGACACCAGCTTCACAAGAAGCATCCTTCAACTTTCATAGCTCAGAAACATGTACAATATACTTTATCGCATAAAATTGCATACAGTAATAACAGACGCAGTAACTTTGAAGTCCAGGGGTCTTCCAAGTCTTTTTTTCTTCCATTCCTATTTTCAGCTTGTGTTGGAAGGAGGGTGATCTCAAGTGTATGAATTTTAGAAAGACACAGGGAACATGTCTCCAAGGAGCAAGCTGTGCTTATGCTCAATGTGTTCTTGGTCAAGTTCTCTTAGTAGAGATAACCTTGAGAATGCCTTACCTGAAAGGTGAAATGTCTTCGTTGTCTGCTTCACTATAAACTTGATCTTTTAAGTGTTCAATGTGATTGCTTTATATCAGCTTCTTACCATGATAGGTACTTTACAGTGATAATCTTAAATAATTGTGGGAAGGGATCTCTAATAACCTGATTTTACTTATAATTTGTCCTAGCTGTAGGCATCCAGATGAAACTTGAATTTTTCCAAAGGAAGTTCTGGACTGCCAGCAGACAGGTAAGCTATAATCAGCATATTGAAGCATTAGCAACACTATTATTATACAGGTGTTCACATTTGGGTACCTGGAGCCTAAAAGTGCCAGTTTTCCCTTGAATGTTTGTGAAGTGGGTTGCTGGCTGCTCAGGTCATTTCATTTCACTCTAAAATAAAATTCTGTCAGCATCTTCTACACCACATGCTGGGCAAAGCAGGGAATTTGCTCCTGCAAGTGTTTTGAATTGTGCGATCAAGATAATGACTTTCCACAGGAGAAGTTTTTCTTTTACATTGGGATGTTTTATGAGATTTCCATAATGATTTTGTTCTCATCTTGTGATGCCTGATTATTTATTTGAGAATCTCTTTATTTATATTTTTGAAGGCCTTTGCACAGCTAGATTTCACTAAGCTTGCATCTGCCATCTTTGGCCAGAGGGCTTTGCTGTACTTCTCAAACCCAGAGGATCTGGAAACACTCTTTCCTAGCTTTCTGCTCTCCATACTAAATGATCTCAGTGGCATTTGTTTAGTAATTCAGCAGAAATGGTCACTAGGTCCGTCTTCCTGCCCAGTTCAAAATGTTGGAATGGTTTACCACTCCTATGAAGATACTTAAACCATAGTCCAAGAACACAGAAATAAGTCTTTATATAACCTCTGTGGATTAATTCATTTAAAATTGAATAGCTGTAGTTATATTTGTTGTTACTCAAAGACTTGAGATATTAAAAATATAGTAGTATTGTAAATTAAAATGAAAAAGAGCCAGGTCCACCCCCCTCAAACCATCTTTTTTTTTTTTTTTTTTTTTTTTTAAGTGCATTGCTTTGCGCTGAGATTCCGCAACTACTGTTTGGGGAGTAGGTCACACCTGCCCATGCGCAGGCCTCACTCACCCTCCACTGAGCTCCAGTAATTATCGTTCATATGGCTCTTTGGAGTTGGGAGTGGGCCAGAGGGGCAGGCCAGGCTCATCTTGGAGCACCACCTTTGGACAATCCTGGGGGCTTGGACGCCAGTTTTCTGTAACGGAGTAGCCTCCTCACAGGTTTGCAGCATCCAATTAACAGGCTTCTATTCACTTCTCTCCGCCCACACAGTGCGCCTCTCTGGATGGCAAATGCTCTATCAGCTGCGATGATGAGGTAAGAGGCTTCTTGGATTGCTGCTGCCCTGGCCAAGAGGAGATGGCAGAGAACAGTCTCTTCCTGAGGGAAAGTGACCTCTCCGCAGAAGCAGGCTGGCCAGCTGCTCTGGCCCCATCTCCCCAGGCACAGAACCCGCGGACATGTGCTTGTTCTTTTTAACTTCTCTTCCCCCATGTCAGACAGTGGAGGAGAGCTAGAAAAATGTGCTTTGAATGAACAGCACTATTGGAATTGGGCATTTTCTAGGACCTTATACAAATGCCTTCCATTTGAAGCTTGCATGACTGTTCTTAAAGATTTTTCCCATGTGCTCTCTTTCCATCCTTGTAACAACTATCTTGTAAAACAGATACTAGTAACTGTCCTGTTTTGCAGATAAGAAAACTGTGGGCCAGAGAAATTGCTTTGCTCTGTGTACTACATGAGTCCCCAAAATCTAGGAGTTGAAAACTCAGAATTTTTCATTCTATTATAATGCTTCCCTCCATCCCTCTCTCTCTGGAATTTTAATCCCACACATGAATAACAGAAAAAAATGTCCCACTTCCATAAGTCTGTCCCTCACATGTGCGTTTTGACGTTTAATCCCGCGCTCCTTCTGCCTCCTATCTCGGAGCCAGCAGGTTCTGCAGCGAGTGACCTTTCACTTTGGCTCCTGTGGCATTTCTCTCTGTGTTACTAGACATTAGTCAATACATAAACTCAAACTTACAGCCATACATTTTACTCCTTCTGATTTTTACAGGGATTAAAAAAACCCTGACCAAACATAATGCCAATACAGAAAACAGATTAGAGTGGTTTTCAAAACAGGAAAAGCAAACACAGGAATATAAAAGAGTGTATGTAGGATGGAGTTAAAACACAAAATGCTCAGGCCTCACAGATTTTTTTTTTTAAAATTGTGAAAATAATATTAGTCATTGTATTTGTCACTATCCAAAGAATACAAACCAGTCAATAGACTTTTCAGTAGCAACCCACTTTTCTCACCATCAGATCCAAAATAATTTTCCCCTAGGAAAGAGTATGTACCCTGTGTCATTTTATAACAGCACCTTTTTGCTAAGTTTGGGGATACTATTCAGAGGACAATCAGGTGATCTCACCCCCTCCTATCTGAGGCAAATATCTCAGATAAGGTAAATATTGTCTTAATGGAAAGCTCAATTCAAGATAATACAGCTTAGTAATAACATTGACTAGTCAGTCTTGTGAGATCCTGCAGTAAGACGGTCACTTGTATGGTAGGTGGACTTATGGATCTTGGCATACCGTAGAACAGAAGACACTTGCTTAGTTGGCTAACTCTAGGGATGTGTGGGTCACTGGTGGGATGGACAGTGGTTGGATAGTTGCTGGTTGACTGGTTACTGGTTGGTTGTTTAGTTGGTTGGTTGGATAGGTAGAATAGTAATTGGTTAAGTACGCTGATGAATAAAGCCAGAGGCAGTAATCTTCCCACAACCACACAGCCTCTGTGCATCCTCACATAGAAAAACAAGTGGAAATGGACCCCCACTTAGAAACATACCATCTGTGTTTATTGTTCAGTGACTGATTTCACAGTGGTATTGCATGGTGGTTAAAAGTGCAGACTATTAAGTTAGAATAACTAGCTGCAGATTATGACTCTGGCACTAATAAGATGTGATCTGGGACAAGTTTCTGAACCCCTCTGTGCCTCAGTTTCCTCATTAAGTTTCAAGGGTTGCGGTGGAGGTTGAAATAGCTACCTCAAAAATAATGGTGAGGATAGATGAACTGATACATGAAAAACGTATGTCATAGCACCTGGAAAATGATAAGTACTCAGCAAACTTTAGTTGTGAACCAGAAATGTCTTCAGACTTCTTCCCCAAAAGAAGCAGTTCACCTGAATCCAAAACCTCAGATGGCAGTGGCACATCTGCTTTAGGCAGTTGACAATTTCCTCTGGGCTGGCTGAGTGCAAGATACGGTGCCTTCCTCACCACGGATGCGCTCCATTAGCAGCCACTGAGAAAACCCCCATTCAAATGTGTTTTTAAGGGTTTACCTACTTTGAAAAGTAAGCATTGAATTTGCTCTGATTTCTGAACTTAATACAATGTTTAAATGTGCTCATTTTGCACTTTGAAACTATCACCCAGTTCCCATTTTGAGTCTAAGTTTTGGCTTTAGGCAACCAATTACATAGTCTTAAATGGGAAAGCCAGCCCTGCCTTCCCACCGAGGCCCCTTTCTATCTTTTCAGCAGACTGTTTCCATGTATCATTCTCCTTCATAATTTTTAATTAAGCCTTTGAGACCACGTCCCTTCTCGCTCCCAACTGCCTTCAAGTGATCAGGTCCCCATTAAAAACATCTGTGGGGGCTCATTAAGTTCGCGTACTTCTGGCTCCTCTGCACTGAAGGCCCACTCCCTCAGACTTGCCAGATGTGCTTCGCCTTGGCCCTGGCCTGCTCCTTCTGTCATTCCCATCAGTGGACTCCCTTGGTCTTGACCCGTGTGCCCTGGGCTGGTGTGAGGAGTCCATGTGCCAGATGGTTCCCCATCTCATAGAGATATGTTTTCGGTTGACCCACAGTACCTGAACCATGTGGCAGGGAGTTCCTGGTCGTGGGTCTGACTGAAGACTTTTAAGGATGGCTATTCCACTCAGGTCCAATGTTCACTTCAGAGTTGACAGTTCCTACTCACCATTCCTCTAAGATGAGCTTTCTCAGTCCTTCATAGGTATCTATACCTGGCTGACCACTGGGGGGGGGGGAATCCAGTGGGAAACAGAATCAGGAATGGCCCCTGTCCTCCTGGAGCTTATTGTTTGTCAGGGCAGATGGCACATGTGATGTCAACTGTAATAAGTGCTATGAATGAGACTAAAGCATAGTGATCAGGGTTGGTCTCTGAGGAGATAACATTTAAGTCAAATGAAGACGGAGGAGATGACATTGAAGACAATGATTGAAGCAGGAGGAGATCTTGATTGGTTGCCAACCCTATGTGCAGAGGTCTTTGTGTTACCATGTGACCAAGGGGTACCAATGTCCCCAAACTGTTAAGGATGCGTGTTCTAATAGAGTTTGGTCATCTACCTGCACAAAGTCAAAGAAAGCAGAAACTTAGTATGCAAAATTGTTAATCAGTGCACAGAAAGGTGGGGAATGAGAAAAAATTTCAAATAATAGATTCTCAATAAAACTACAAAATTTACCCATCCTCTTGTGTACACAAATGCCTTATTAAACAGGTTTGGCCCAAAGCAGAATAGCTGAGACCTAAAGCTTGCCATAATTCTAACATATCTTCTGGTAGGGAACCACAAAAATAGGATAGGTAGTTCTTAGAAAGCTAGGACAGGAGAGACTCAAAATTCAAAATATCCCATATGCTCCACAATGAAGTCAAGATAATGGCTGCAATTGTGTCTTGCAAGGGCTACATGTTCCCCCATGTTTCTCACCCACCTGTCTCTTCTCCATTCCACCTGTTTTCCCCCTCCTCCTTTGTTCCACTTCCATTTATATATCCACTTTGCTCCTTCCCAGCTTCCCCCCATGCAGGCATAGCATGCCTGTAGTCCCAGGTGACTACATGTAAGTGGGAGTGGGGAAAATGGCACCTGTTCCTGTCCTGCAGTGTTTCTCCTCCTTTCACTGGTATGCATCCTGTGACATTTGTAGTATACAGAAACATGGTTGAATTTCAGACAGAAGGAATGCTATGCCTGCTTCACATCCTGGTCTGACCCTTTGTCTCCTCACCACTCTCATACCTTTCCAACAGCTACCTCCCCATCCCCCCCCCCCATGTGAGCACCAGCATTTTCAAAGAGAGTGAAAAAAGAGACATTTCTTTCCTGTTAAGGCATTTGGAGGAAGTATGAGGATAGTGAGGGGATAGGAGTGCTCATACTCAATCTCAGCAGCCATCTTTTTCTTCAAGGGGATTACAATTAAAAATCACTATTAAAATTTTAAGGCCTTATAAGCATTTCCTCTAGAATCTGAAGGACTTTTTTGAAGTATGAAAGGGCTGTAGCATGACTAAATTCCAGAACCACCCAGCCCAGCCTGTAGGCATTTGAGTCAGACTATTGCTTAGTTTATACCAATCAAAATGTGCAAAAGGCACCCCCCAAGCACAAAAAGAAACAGACTCCAGTGCACCTACCAGTACAAACTCTTGCTATGAACTACATAATACCTTCCCTTTCTGAGAAACTGCAGCTTTAAGCATTGGGTTACTTTGAAAGATGGTGTGTGATGGTGCGTAATACGTGGTAGCCATCATTTGCTAAGTAGACAGAAGCTCCTTCTTTGAGAACTAACCATGTGCTGTGTGCTTTACATGTGCTCAGAACTCTCCCTCCCCTGCCTCCCCTCCTTCCCCCACCCCCAAGTCTTCTCGTCAGTCTTAAGAAATAGTTGTTCTCTCCATCTTTCAGATAAGACAACTGAGACTTAGGGTATCAAAAGTGTCACACTGATTATAAGCGTCTGAGTCTTCATTCTACAGCTAATACCTTATTAGCCTTGGGGCTAATAGCACCTTTGAGTTAACACAAGTGTGGGGCTTTGTCCTCTCAAATATCCCCTTCCTCACTTGATTTCCTTAACTATCTTTGACAGCCCAATTCCTGAGATCTAGTTTGGGGCTTTAACCTCAGCTATCTCCCTGTGTGGCCTTTGTAACTGGGAAATCACACTTCCGTGAGTTTTCAAGTCATTGAAAGATCTCCATTTTCAAAAATCAACTCCCCTCTGACTCTCTTCTTGTCTGTCTTTCTCTCCACATTTGTTGAACAATCTCATCACCAGATGTTCTGGCAAAGGTGGACACTTCCAGTATCTCTCAAAGCAGAGGTCTCCTGGTTTCTCCAAGCCCTTCAGGCTGTCCCTGGGACAGGGTGATGGCAGACACCTTACAGGGTGTTTGTTTGGCTTAATTTGAGGGAAAAGTAACATAATGAAGAAGAGTTGAGAAAATTTCTCCTTTATGTCCTTTTTACTGGAGAGGGAATATGGAGGAGGTGGTTGAGTGTCACTTATTGTGAAGAGACACAGAGAGAACAATTGATCAGACAGGAATATGGCTAATTCTATCCTGACACTCAATACCCACTGTCCTGCTCAGGTGTGGTTGTTGGCAGGGTGCTCAGGAAGCCATAATAATGACTAAATTTACCTAAAACTAAATGATGAGTTCCAGGTTCATGGGCCCAAGTTTACCTCCATGGAAAAATGTTCTTGCTTTTGACCTGTGATTTTCTCAGTGATTTATAAATCACAATGTGATGTGATAGTCTCAGTTTCTTTCTTCATGGAATGGCCCAAGTTTTGTTTTTTAATAATCCACGTTTTTTTGTTGTTGTTGTTGTTTGTTTGTTTGTTTTGTTTGCTTGTTTTGTTTTGTATAAACCTTGACATGCAAACTTATCCATGAATGAGTACAGCCTAGAATCTTCTCTGACAACAAGTACCTGTCATGCAATCCTACCTTAAGGGGAGAAAATGAATTTTAAAATTGGCAGAGGGTAGCATGGCTCAAGAAATAGATTTCAACAACTATTCAATATAAAGAAACAAATGGTAGCCCTTAACCCTTCCCCAGGAAAAAGTGTCTACTATCTTAAAACAAAGGTGAGGCACCTTTGGAGGAAGTGAACAATTACTCCTCCAGGAACTTGGTTTACCACACTGTTCCTTCCCCATGGCCAGATAGTAAATTGTATACTTAATCTGACCAAACTGAGTGGACCATCAAGTATGTTTTACACTCTGGTCTGACATGGACATTTTTTGTCATAGATTTTTTCCTTAGCAAGTGGTGGGTATGTACAGAGAATCCCCTCTGCTGTGTCTGAGTCTACTGCGCTCAGGTATTAACTTAAGAATGGTGTGCTTAGAGTTGGTTGGCAGAAACCTACAGCAGGAGTTGACAGCCCTGGGCCCCAAACATCAGTCATTTCTGTTGTTTTTAATCGTGATAACAACACCCAAGTCAAGCCTTGGCATAGTGACTGGTTTTGCTGATGCTTCTGCCACTAGTTGTGTGGCCTGTGGACTGTGTGGCAGGTGAGACCAAGGGATTGCTTTTGTCAAACAAGTAAAACCTTCCCTGAACAGAGATCCTGACTCTATCCTGGGGTCTTCTGGAAGGCAGAGGAAGTTGGCCAGCGAAAGAATGTGCCCTTGGAGTCCCACAGCTCTTAGTTGTGTGGCCTTGGGAAAGGCAACTCCTCTGGGCTGCAGTTCTCTGTCTGAGAGGAGACTCCCTACTTGACAGAGTGACAGTCAGGATTGCGTCAGAGGATGTCCTCCTCGAGCTGCCATCCTCTCCTCTCCTCACCTTCTTCTTCCTCCCCACCCACCTTCTTCCTATTCTCAGGTCCATTCTCATCAGATTGAACCACATGCCAATTGTTTCCAATTGGTGTTCTCCCTGCTTTGCCACCGTCCCATTATTATAGCTTGGTTGTACATATTTGAAGTTGAAACGGCTATCTCTGCTCCTCCAGAATGCTCTCCTTGCTCCTTCCACACCGGAAGAGAGTGGGCACACTGAGAGTCTTCTCTGAATGCCCCGATCGGTCACCATGAAGAGCACAAAGGTCCTGCTGGCCAAGACACCAGGGCAGGAAAAGAGCCAAACACGTGTTAACAAATAGTGGAACACTTTATTGAAGCTTTCCTGCTAAATACAGTGGAGATCTTGAAAAGGCACTTGTTTTGCTAAATGTAGATTATAATTGCCCTGGTTCAGTTGGAGTTTGAGAACAGTGAGCATAATATTTCCGATACAATCATAAAAGCACAGTAGGGAACCCTTTGCTTTGCATTCGATGTTCTCAGTGATCTGGCAGGGCCAACTACAGGGGAGGTAGTTGATTTGCCCAGGACCTTCTCTTAGTCCTGTGCTTTTGAAATCATTCTTTCTGGAAGCATCTTCCATGATTTCTGTGGTGATTTTTCCCTTTCTTCTTGTGTTACTGCCGATAGACATGAAAGTACCAATGGTCTTTGAGACTGGAGCTGATCTCCAGCATCACTTACGGGGACTTCAGGAAATCTGGCCTCTTGCTTGAAATTTTCAGTTGATTTTATAACCAATCTGCCTCTTACCTGTCTTAATATTTCCAAAATATATAATAGTAGACAAAAAAATATATTGACCAAAGCGATAGGTATAATAGCAGAGTACTAGTAGGCACATTTGAAGGGGAATTAATTTTGTAATTAGGGGTGCAGGATGAATTATCATGACTTCTGGTTCTATCATGACTTCTGGCTGTGAGGACTGAGGTGATCACTATCTGAATAAGGATGACCAAGGAAAGCTCTGTTGCTCACCAACGCAGCCACCACTTTTCTAAAAGGTGCTAGCAGGGCTTGAAATCTTCTACTGATCCTCCACCACTGCGTAGGAGTAAAAACTGAATCTTTCTGACCAACTCACTGCTGTACTTTCGTGCCAGGCTAAAACCAACTCTGAGGATAGGTAAATGTGTCAGAAAACACCAGTCCTGCCGTGGCCTGGAGCTAGGGGGAATTTAGCTCAGGGTAAAGATATGTTACAAATTAAATGTTGCAGTTGGTATGTAAAGCTGCAATAAATAGAAACTGAGTTACATCAAGGACAGAATTAAACCTTAAGTTTAAACTCCACAGCACTGTAATTAAAACTTAGCCTGTAGCAAATCATTCACTTGAGATTAAAGTAGTGTGGGGGAAGCAGAGGTTTGGGCTTACCTTGCTTTCTACAATTTATAAGTCTGAGCTACCAAAAGCTAACAGCCCTGCCCCCAAATCCAGCTCCCAATTAAAAACACAGTTTGAAAACCTTTAGGAGGCCTGAGGGGCCCCTTTAACAGAAGTCTGCCCCTTCCCCCCTGCCTAAGTCTATGAACAAATTAAAAAATATTACCTGGTCCCCTGATGGTCTTCTGAGCTGACACGGTGTTTTCATTAATACATCATTATAGTAATGACATTGTGCTGGCGTTTGGCTTTCAAAACAGCCAGCACCTCGACCACTAAGAATACAGGCTCTGCGTTCTCTGAACACTTTGTTCCTGGGAAATATTATTCAGGTCATATAAAGAAAAAAAAAAAAAAAAAGGAAGACAGAATGTAATTGATGTAATTGAGGTATTTTTTTTTTTTTAATGTATGTTCTTGTTATCCTACTCTGAAGTGTTCAAGGCTTGCTGGGTGTTTGAATTTTGTTTGTTAGTTTTGCAAGTAAACACTGGGGTTAACTTCACCAGGTCCTTCACTCCTAGAGCTGGAAGGCATTTCCCATTCCCCAAAACAACCTAAAAGCACTTTCTCTCAGGTTGGAAGTACGTCATTTCATGTAAAAGCAGTCTGAGGTTCCCAAGTTGAAACTGTGGTATTTTTATTTTCTAGACTGTGAACTGTTACCTTATAGACAATAATGGGTTTATTCTGGTGTCTGAAGACTACACACAGGTGAGTAAGAAGCTTCTACCAGTTCACACAGGAGGGCCTCAAAATGTGGTTGGGTTTGTGGAGCAAATTATGCTCTTAAAACTAGAGACAATGACCTATATTTAAGAGGTAAGTGATAGCAGTAGATTGTAAAAACTTATTTCCATCCTGCTAAGAATGTCACAGCCTACTTTTCAGCAGGCCCCCAAAAGATTGTACCTCCCAGTGGGGGAGGCGAAAGGTGGGGGGGGGGAGGTGCAGAGGGGAGGGAGGCGGGACCAGGTCTGCTCTCTCACTCATAAAATGTTCAATTTATAGAATTCTTTGCCTCAAGGGTGAAGGTGCCTTAAAATGTTGGGGCAGTTTTAAGGAGGTTTCCACCTTTTGATATTTTTATCTTCTTGCTGCTGCTGCTGCTACTACTACTAACTACTACAACTAACTACTACTACTACCACAACTATGTTCATGCACACACACATTATTCCTACATAATTATCATTATGGCTTTTCTTTCTACTTTTTGCTTTTTAAACATCAGTTATCTGAGTTCAGTAATGCCTAGGAACATGGATGCAGCGATAGAAAAATTTTTCATCATTTGATTGAGTTGTGTGCAATGTGGAGGTAGAAAGAAACCTGGCAATGGGGCCGAGCACAGGAATCTCCACTATGTCTAGAAATCAGCACATGAGTTAAAAATCAGTAGCATCATAATAGAGAAACAGGTTTCTCCATTAACGTTTTTGTACATTAAAACTTTTTCTGCAACTAGAAATTCCATTAGGATATTAAAAGAAAGAAACTACAGGCAAGCTGAGCAGTGTGGTGTAATACGGTAACTTTAGAGGTGAAGGCAGATGATTTCTGGTACTAGCTCCGTTCTTTAATTAGTTTTATTATCTTGGGCAAATAACTTTAGCTGCCCCTGCCTGGACCTCCCGGTGGCCTCTGTAGGAAGATAGCAGACAATAAAAGGCGTATTCTACCTCTAATATTTTCAGAGACTAACATTTTTTGTCATGAAGTCCCATTTAAATCACTTAAAATTCTCTGGTAGTCAACAGTACAACAGGCCCATTAATGCTTAATAAATTAGTTAATTGCCCCTACATGTGGCTCCTTCGGGTCTGAGTTTGATGGCTTGTTAATTTATAAACACTGGTTCCAAAGACCATGTCAAATTTCACTTCACTTTCGAATCCATGCCAGTGTTGCAGGATTTTAAATACAACTTTGATGGGTGAAAAATTGCACTACTGAGAGAGCCAAACCATCCTCAGGCTGTCACATCAGATGCTGAATATGCCTGGTATTGGACTTTAAAAAGGAACCCAGGAAACACAGCCTGTCTGCTGGGTGCAGGAAGGTAATAGGTGTGTGGCTCGAAGCCCTCTGCTTTGGGAAGAGCGGCATCAGAATTTTCCTGAATGAATGGAGTAAGAATCCAAGTTACCAACAAAGCACTGACAAGGAAGAAGCCCACGCTGGGGGCAGGAAGGGCTCTGTGGCTGTCTTCAGTGTGAATCTGGACTCACCAACCAAATGCACCACTGAAATAGCTGCTCTCTCCAGGCTTCTGCACACAGAGGCTCTGCCAGCTGCCTTCTCTCTGTGGAACAGGCCTGCAGCCCTGCCCCCAGGAGGCTGCTGTCGGCTCTGCCTGGGCATGTTTGATATTGTCTGGTTTCCTGCGCCCCAATTAGAATAATTCTTCTTCTTCTAACAACCGGTTCCATTGACACTGGCATATTTACATTTACAAATGTGCTTCTTGCCCTTAGCGGCAGGCAGCACACGCCCAGAGTTTGCCGAAGGTTCCAGTGTCCGTGGAGTGGAAAAGGCAAGGCGAAGTCTCCATCCGCCTTTCTGCTTGAAAACTCCCAAGAGTTTGGCTATAAAATGGAATTGAGATTTAGCTAATATAAAACTGAAGGAATTGATGCAATTTGGGCTAAATGCAGTGCCGTCCACACACCTACCCATACAGAAATTACAAATCCATAGATCACCCACAGGAGATATGGGGAGGGGTAGCTCTCAGTGGATCTATACCAGCTTGTTCTAGGGTATTGGCCAGGGAGGCTGCTGCCCATGCTCCATTCTGCTGTACTGTGTATGCCCACCCCCCAGCCTGATGACTGTGACTCAGGAAGTCCCCAGGGATGCAGGAGGATGGCCATCCTTTAGCCCCCCACTGAGTTTGCAGATCTCACCGGGCACCAAGAACTTGTCTTGCAAAAAGTACAGCCTGGTGACAGAGAAGGACTGCCAGGACTGAAATGCCCTGCAGACAGCCCCAGGGTAGGGGTGACTCTTAGAAGCCTGACTAGTAGTGCTGTTTGCTTGAAGGATTGGGCCCCCTTCTTCATTGTCAACATAGTAACTGCCTGCGAACAAAAAGAGGGTTCCGCAGAAAGTGATTTTGAAAAAGGACATATTCTTAACTGTAGGGAATTTCCAGGACTGACGAAGAGGACTGCTCTATTTCTCTAAACAGGTCATCCAGGAATTTTAAGCAATTCTCTTTATTATTGCTTAGGAAGCTTTTTCACAGGCTGTTTCTGTCTATATGAAGTAGTGTTTTAATTGCAAGGAATTAAGTGCGAGTTAATGCCTACTCCATTCAAGGGTTATGTGTGTGTACACATGCGCACATGTGTGTTTTAATTCACATGTGCAACAACAACACACACACACTGGCCAGTGTTGTGGAAGCATTCACATCTGCTGTTAAGACCTTGCCACTTTTATGTAACAGCAATCCTGAGAACCTGCCTTCTGCTCCTGCCCGCACCAGGACACAGACTGGGCCCATTTTTCTTTCCTCTCTGGTGTTTGGGCACAGTATTTATCCACACTTCCTCACGGGTCTTCTCTTCTTCTCCGCAGACTGGAGACTTTTTCGGTGAGGTCGAGGGAGCTGTGATGAACAAATTGTTAACAATGGGCTCCTTTAAAAGGTAAGGATTTTATGGTCCCCTGTGCCCCCTGAAATAGTTTGCCTAAATAAAATAAAACAAACCAAGGTCAAATAAAGCAAGCCCAGACTTGACCCCGTGGCTGGTTTTCACTTGTGTTCATGCTCCAGAAGATCTCGCTGAAATCTGATGCCTCCTGCATGAGTGTTAAGAGTCTGAGAGAGGCTGCTCACAATGAGTTTCCTGTTCACCCAGTGTAGACTTTATGGGAGGCCAATATTGAAGTCTGAGCCTGCAGTGGGACACAATTCTATCAGTCTCAAGCAGTGATCACAAAGAACTCTCATTGACAAGCCGGGAAAGCTTGCTCGAAATCTGGAACTCAAGGATAGAAAATGATGTTAGCGACTTGAGAAAATTTTAGAAAACTAAGTAAAAGTTCTCAAAATTTGCTCCAGATGGGGCTAAGTTTAATCTGCTGCTGGAAGTAAACTCAGAGGGGGCCACGTGCCCCTGGTGACAGGTAACCCTCAGCTAGGTAGTGACCATGCTCATCCTTACCCTCCCCTCCTGCAGGAAGCCTCTGGTCCCCCGCCACCACACCCCCAGCAGGCCAGCCCCACTCCTGGGAACTCCAGAGCCTGCACCCCAGGAGATCAGGATGCCAGTGATGTTCCTGCGGAAGGCAACCTGCCTACCTCTCTTTTACCTCCCAGGAAGAGCGGGTGGCCTTTGAAGTGGTGCTTTAATGGGCATATTTGATGCTGTTAAATGTATAAAAGCAGGAAATACGAGGACGAACCTCAGCCCGCCAGTGAGAGCCCTGGCTCGCCGGCTGCTGGTGGAAAGGCAGCCCGGGTTTATTACTCCCCTGCAGCTCAATGGCCAGGAAGTGTTAGCTCAGGAAATCGGACTTTTAAGCCAGTCAACAAGACCAACTGAGCCCTGTGCTGAAAGCAGGGAATTCAAAAGTGATGACCCAGTGTTCGAGATTCCATAGCACATTTGTACCACAAAGAGGCAGAAAAGAAGTGATACACAGTGGGGTGACTGCAGCTCTTCTGCTATCTCTGACACACTCGCTGGCCCTCAGACCTGCATGGAGCAGTGCTCATGCCTGCTCATTTCCCTTTCAAATTCACGTGGTGCTTTTTCCTTTCTTTGCCAGAGTCCTTGTGCACATACTTGAAGCTCGGCTCAGAGTCGGGCTGGGCTTGCCTGGCATGGGGTTTGCCACAGCATCTTAGAGTTTCTCAGGGCAGCTCTAAGGCACCCAAGGCTCGCTCTGTCTTTCTGTGGATGTGTACCAACTCGTTTCCAACTTGGGAGAAAGGAGGGCCAAAGGTAGAGAATAATCACGCACATTTTCTCGTTTGAAAGCATCTTTGACAAAATATCTCTTTTTTTTTTTTCCTGTTCCCTCTTAGATATCTTTTCAAACACTTTGGTGAGAGAAAGAGAAAATTTTAGTGGAATTTTAAAGTCTTAATCTTCCCTATAATGTGGGTAATGGAAGTTTAGCAGGAATCTAGAACTTTCTTTTGCCAATATTATAGCTATAAAATGCTTGAGAAATGGGAAGGTATGGGGACTTAATTATAACAGCAATGCTATCATTCAGGAATTAGTGAATAGGCCTCCTGGGCCTACTTCAAGCCCCACTCACTGGGGAAAGAGAACAGTGACTGTCTGGGCTTTGGATACAGGTGGGTTGGCTTCATATCCAAGGCCCTAACATTTACTAGCTGCATGACTTAGAAGAGGTCGAGTTACCTATCTAAAAAAATGAGGATGATAATCATTATTTGCAAGGGTCACTGTCAAAGTTAATGAGATAATAATAAGCATACAGTTCTTACACAGAGCCTGGCAGATATTAAAGGCTCAGTAATTGCTGGCTGCTACTGTGGTTTTTGTTGTTGTGGAACTTTGCTCAGTCTCGGCTCTGCTTTCTGCTTGGGACAAGCAGACAATGCTTCTCTTGCATTCACACACCACTGGCTTTCCAAGATGCCTAGTGAGGGAGTATCCAGCTCTGGAGTGGGGCTGTCTTCGTTGAAATGCATGCGCTTGCCCTTTCCAGCATGGCATGTTATCAGAGCATGCATGCGGTTGACAGTTCTTCATTCAGAGAAGACCTGGATTTCAGGAACACTGTAAGGATGTAGCCCGAAGTAACTGACAGGAAGGGACAGAAGTCATGGTCCCTTTATTAAACTCAATCCCGCTCCAGTCCAGGAGCCATGGTGGCTGAGTTGCTTCAGTGACGACTGAGCCCAGGCAAAGCAAAGGTTGGTTTTCTGAACTTACCTGCTGTCCCAGCATCTCAGTGCCATGTGAAAGGGAAGTCTCTGATGTGTGCCAACAAATCACAACTTGAGAGTGCTCTGAGAAAGTTCCAAAGCCATGTTAACAAATAATCTAACAAGCAAATAGTCACTCTTGTTCAGTTTTGCTGAGTCGTTGATTTGACTCTGCCCGGCCAGCTACATGTGATTTAGTGTGGAGGGAGGAAGTTACATGCCAGTAGCCTCAGCAGTGTGAAAGTAAGGACCACAGAGCTACCTTCCCAGGCCCTACCACCGGGGAGTGCCGTGCCTGACAGATCCCGTCTTTTGCAGTCCTTTCCAGCAGCTCCATGAGACAAACACAGATTAGTGCCATCATTTGCAGTGCTCAGTGCAAAATGAAAGCATGGGAGTCTTGTTCAAAGAGCATTATGAATTTCAAGACAGAAAAAGTAGACTCTTCTGCCAATCATGTGGCCCTTTGGTGCGCTGGGTTCTTGTGCAGCTGCACAAACTGCATGCCCATAGAATTGTCCCTCGGCATAAGTGTACCCATTTTATAGATGGGAAAAAATGGGGCTTGGAAAGGTTAAGAGTCTCTCTCTCTCTCTCTTTCTAGCAACACTGGATTCAAGCATGCTAAGTATGAACACAGTGAGCATTTTCTGGCTTCTTTCTTTACCTGGTTCTGTCTACAGTGGCACTGAATAGTGCTGGCTTTTCCTTTAGTTCTGTTGGAAAAGTGAAGGAGGGAAATGCTAGGCAGTGGTGTCTTATGCATGAAGCAGAGCTTCAGGATGTGAGGCCAACTGAGAAATAAGACAGCCCAGATTTCTCTCAGCAGAAGTGGCTGTGTGTGCTGCATCCTCAGCCTCTCGTGTTTTCCCATAAGATGCTCTGGGTTCCAAACAGAGAACTTCAAATATGTCGTCATTCTTGTTAGGGGACCAGGTGGACCCCCTGAGTAGTGACTCACTTAGATTTTTCATTTTAGCTGTTTTTCTTTTTCACTCATATTCATATCTAGTAAGTCTTGCATTCGCTTTTCTCCAGGTTCACATTCTAGGGTTCTCTTTGCTGTCATTGGCAGCAATAGTACCCCTTTCTACAAAGGGGAAATCTGTTTCAAAAATATTTTTATTGGAGTTCTCTCTTCCTTTTCTTTCCCCAGTGATGCAAATTCAAAGTCAAATACCCAAGAAAAAGTGAAAAAAAATATATATATATATATAATTAGTCATAGGAAAGTGTAAGGCTCTTGACAGGACTTCCCTAATATGCTGGACTAGAAGTGACCCCAGAATCACCACCCTGTGACTGGACAGATTCTTTGTCTCTTCGGGCCGGTTTCTGAATCACCAAAATAGGAACCTTGGAATTTTGTGAGCATCAACTAAAATACATGAAAAAAAACAACAAAAAAAAACTTTGCACATTACAAAACAGTTGCAAGCAGGTGACAATAGAACTTTTGGTGTTTTTTTTTTTCCCCCTGTTTTCTCCATTGTTTTGTGTTAATCATCAGTGAGCACTCCCAAAGGTGGTTCTATAGTATGCTTTGTCAGAGGTGGCATTGAAAGGAATAAGAAGAAGGCTGGCTTGGACAATTGTGTTTCTGGGCCATATTTTCTGGGATGGAGAGATGGGAAGATTCCAATGACGGTTCTTGAAAACCCTGCAGCTGCTGCTTGAGGAATTCTGATCATAGCATAACAATACCTGCCCTCATGTGTGACAGAACAGAAGCCTGTCTCATTTAATAAAAACTAACTATAACAAGGCATTATTCCAAACAGTTCCAATGCATGCCTTTCATTAATCCCCATAACAACTCCATGAAATAACCGCTGTCATTATTTGCATTTAACAACAGAGAAAGTGAACGTGAAGGCTGCAAGCATATTAATAAACTTGTCCAAGTTTAACTACAGTGAGTGGCAGAGATGGAATCTGAACTGATCACTCTCACCTTTCATATTCCAGATCATGTACTCTTCATCACTATTCATCTTTTTCACAGTAGAAGCACACTATGTACTTTCTGCAGAGATGTTTTTTCACATTCTTGCTTTTTGTTCTTAAAGAGATAGTGAAGAAAGTCTTTCAATCAAATTTTAAATCCATGTGTCAGTTAGTAGTTGATTCTACTAGAAAATAATGGGAGATTCCTAAATAACAGGAATTTTAAGAATATCGACGTTTTCTTCTGTTTCTGTGAAGGAAACCCAAGTTTTGCAGGACCTCAAACTGTCATCATGGATCTATGACCATAATTTTTTTTTTTTTTACTTTCCTCCATGTCAGCTTTTTTTTTTTTTTTAAAGATTTATTTACTTATGCATACAAAACTGGGATACAGGCCAGAGGGGCAGGGGCGATGAGAGAATTCACCAGAGACAGAAAGGGGAGCAAAACAGTCTGACTGACAAAGTACACTGCTGAGGGGAGCAGTGGGTGAGTCAGGACAGGTCTGCCGCGCCATGTGGGTCACCTTTGGGGCAGGGTTCGAACTCATGCTGAAGTGACTTTAGCTTCTAGTTCTGTGCTTTAACCTGCTGTGCCACGAAGGAGGGCCATACATTGGCTTTTTATCTCAAATTTACTTCACAGTCTAAAGTAGTTGCTGAGTGCCAGCCATCATATATCTACAGTAAACTGCCAGGTGGAAGGAGGAATCAAGAAGGTCCAAAAGGTCAAAACAAAGTTCTTTGGTAAAATGTGTGCTAGTACAATACACCCCCTCTTTATAGCACA